ACCGCAACACCAGGGGAATTGCAGATGCGTTGCCGGCCTTTTAAAAAGGAGTAGGCTCTTTTCTTGAAGGTCCCTAAGTCGTATCGGTCCGGAAAAATCGCTGGTGGTAAACTATTCCACAAGGAAGTTGTGCGAGGAAGAAAACATCTTCTAAATCGCACAGTGGTGGACCGCCAATCATCCAGATGGTGTAGATGGTATCGGGAGTTCTGCCGCGATGTGCGTTCGTGAAATTTGGCGGCTGGGATTAATCCGAACAATTCCTCAGAGCACTCCCCATGGTAAATGCGAAAGAAAATGCTAAGAGATGCAACATCTCTTCGCAGTGCCAATGAGTCGAGCCGATCGGAAAGGACTTGGTCGTCGACGATTCGAGCCGCTCTGCGCTGGATGCGGTCAAGTGGAAGAAGCTGGCACTGGGGAGCCCCAGCCCAGAGATGGGAACAGTATTCCATGTGAGGCCGAACCTGCGCCTTGTAAAGTTGCAGGCGTTGAGCCGGTATGAAATACTGTCCCGCTCTGCTGAGCACGCCAAGCTTTTTAGAGGCCAATTTGGCCTTCGCTTCCAAGTGACCACGAAACTGCACGCTACTCGATATGTCGACGCCGAGGATTCCGATACTGGCTGAGGCAACAAGGGGAGTACCTTGAAACTGAGGAGATACGACAAAGGGGTTCTTTTTAGCGGTAAACGCGCAAACTTGTGGTGCTACAGGGAATGGAACTATTTATTCCATCATCTGTGGTACCCATCGGAGGCAGATCTCAGCCTTGGTTTGGTCGTTTCTGTAAGAGTGCATTACGCAGTAAGCAGGAGTGTTATCAAGCCTGGGCTGCGGCTTCGGCGACTCGGGATGTAAACACCAGCACACTCAAAAAGAAGTATAACTTCGCCTCCAGGTCCTTCAAAAGAGTTATTGCCAAGGCAAAGTCAGAGCACATACGCAGAATTGGCGAGAAACTAGTTCGCCTTCCTTCGGGAACCCGTGCATTCTGGTCTCTCGCCAAGGCTGTCCAAGGGAATTTCTGTAAGCCATCACTATCATCTCTGCACAGGGAGGACGACTCACTGGCCCATGACGCAAAAGAGAAGGCCGACCTTTTAGGCTCCCTTTTTGCGTCCAACTCGACTTTTGATGACGGGGGGAACACACCGCCGACCATCCCGCGGTGTGAGTGCTCCATGCCGGATGTGCGGTTCTCACAGCGCTCGGTTCGCAGAGCACTCCTCTCCCTTGACATCCACAAGTCGAGTGGGCCTGACGGAATCCCCCTAATTGTGCTGAGGACGTGTGCTCCGGAGTTGGCACCGGTTCTAACGCGTCTTTTCCGGTACTCCTACTCCCTAGGCGTAGTCCCCAAATCATGGAAGACAGCTTTTGTCCACCCGATCCCTAAAAAAGGCGACCGCTCAGACCCGTCCAACTACAGGCCTATCGCCATAACCCCCTTGTTCTCCAAAATAATGGAATCCGTTATAAACTGCCACCTCATCCGGTACCTTGAGGATCACCAGCTGATTAGTGACCACCAGTACGGTTTTCGTCGGGGTCAATCAGCTGGTTATCTTCTGGTCTACTTAACTCATAGATGGGCGGAGGCAGTAGAGTCCAAGGGGGAGGCATTGGCCGTTAGTTTGGACATTGCGAAGGCCTTCGATCGGGTTTGGCACAAAGCGCTTCTTTCGAAGCTCCCTTCCTATGGGCTTCCCGAGAAATTATGCAATTGGATCACCAGCTTCCTTGCAGATCGGAGCATCAAGGTCGTTGTAGACGGTGCATGCTCCGACTTCAAGCCTATTAACGCTGGTGTTCCACAAGGCTGCGTGCTATCACCAACGCTGTTTCTTCTGCATATCAATGATATGTTACAAGCCGGTAGCATTCATTGCTATGCGGATGACAGCACTGGTGATGCTCTATACACCGGCCGTGCCAATATTTCTCGGGAAAACGTCACCGAGTACCGGAACAAACTTGTGTCTGAAGTTGAGTCTTTGCTGGACAAAGTCTCGGATTGGGGGTGACTAAATCTAGTCCAGTTTAATCCTCAGAAGACACAAGTTTGCGCGTTTACCGCTAAAAAGAACCCCTTTGTCGTATCTCCTCAGTTTCAAGGTACTCTCCTTGTTGCCTCAGCCAGTATCGGAATCCTCGGCGTCGACATATCGAGTAACGTGCAGTTTCGTGGTCACTTGGAAGAGAAGGCCAAATTGGCCTCCTAAAAGCTTGGCGTGCTCAGTAGAGCGGGACAGTATTTCATGCCGGCTCCACGCCTGCAACTTTACAAGGCGCAGGTTCGGCCTCACATGGAATACTGTTCTCATCTGTTTAAGTAAAAATTTTGATAATGGGGGACGAACCCCCCCTATTTGTCCCAAGAAAATCTTTGGCGCGCACGCCCCCTGGAGGGCCTTCAGTGAGGCCTGCTGGTCCCAGTATGCCGAACCCTAAGGGTGGCTCGAGCGTTACGGCCGAAAAACGTCCGTTAACGTCTCCGGAACAGCAGCAACCCATGACGCAGCGCCAGAAGGTCGACAAAGAAAAGAAAAAATGAGGCTCTGTTGTTTCAGTCGCTGGGGTCTCGTCTGCAGAACTGACTAGGCAAGCGATGGAGGAAGATTTAAGGGTTTGATGACTCCAAGGCAACCCCACTAGAAATCATAGAACACACGCGGGCAGCTATTAAAACTATAATGGGCATAGTATCTGGACCAGGTTCGAAACTAAATGAGGTGGAGGTCAACAAGATTTCGGCAACCGGGCAGGACCTTATCGCGATGGTGGCTGCAATGGAAGTGCAACTGATGGAGGCACAGCTTGCATTATGCAGGGCTGAATGGGACAGGTCTCAGGCTGTAGCTAAGCTGGCGCACCAGGAGGCCGCGCGTACACCCTCAGGTGACGGGGACCATGCCTCCGCTGTCGGACAATCGTTTGCATCTGTATTAAGGATGCCGAAAGGTGTGGCAGCGATGCCTATTCCGGAAAAATCGTATCCAGTCTTGGCGTTCTACCCGGCAGGCGAGCAGGAGCACCTGAAGACGGCCGACGATACAAAGGCGGAGTTGAAGATAAAGCCGTCGGAAATATGCATTCAGGTAGCTAAATTCAGGAAAGTTGGTAACGCGGGGGTAGTGGTCCAGACCACGTCCCAAGAGTCTGCTAATAAACTCCGATCTGCGGCGCCACCAACGCTTCGAGTTAGTGAGCCCAAGCAGCGCCTACCACTTGTGGCCTTGCGAGGGTTTGAAGACTATATAAAAAGTGAAGACTTACTGCCAGCCCTCCATGACCAAAACTTTGGAGACGATGAGAAGTGGACCCTGGAGGAACTACAAAAGAACAGCAAGGTGGCTTTCAAGAAGTCATGGAGGGGCAGTCGCAGGACTACCGTGGTGCTTCAGTGTTCACCGGCTCTAAGGGATACATTGACGGCCCGAAGGCGACTGTATATAGGGTGGGACGTGGTCGAACCATGCGACTATGTAGACGTCACCTGTTGCCAGCGCTGCCAGCAGTACGGCCACGCGGCCAAATACTGCAGGGCCAAAGAGGCAACGTGTGGCAAATGCGGTGAGGAAGGCCATGCCAGGGAGGACTGCACCTCCGATAATGTGTGCTGTGCCACATGCAAGAAATTTGGCAAGCCGGGTGCAAAGTCCCATGCCACGATGGCGAAGACGTGCCCGGCTAGGGTGTACGCAGAAGAGAGGGCGGTCAACACCACGCAATATGGCGGTTGAAAATAATTTAATAATAGGTCAGCTCAATTTGGGACGAAGCGAGATGGCCACCAAAGAGTTACCAGCACTTTCCAGGAACCACGGCTTGGATTTAGTCCTGGTCCAGGAACAGTGGCCGCAGGCGCATGATATTGTTAACTTTGGCGATGGACCTCAGGCTGGCATAAAGGTTAGCAAAAGTAGTATAGGTGTTGCTGGATTACCACACCTCAGTAACCCCTATTGCGTGGTATGCCATGTGGAGAAGTACGGTCTCTACGTCATCTCAGCTTATTTTAAATATAGCGACAACATTGATCGTCATTTACAACATCTAGAGACCGTACTTGACCAGTTGAAAGGCAAGCGCGTTGTAATCGGAGTGGATTGCAACGCGCACTCGCCACTCTGGCTTAGTGATGCTGAACAAGTTGTTGGTAGGGGCCATGAGGCAGCTTACCGCAGGAAATCCATGGAGGATTTTATAATGTCACGGGGGCTTGTGGTGGCCAATGTAGAGGGCCAACCGAGTACCCTTTCGGGAGCTATGGGAGAATCTAATATAGACCTCACTCTTGCATCCAGAGGAGTCATTACTCGTATTACCGAGTGGCGAGTCCTGGACTGCGTCAGCTCAAGTGACCATCGACTCATCGCTTATAAAGTTGGAGGAGTACCCCATGCGAGACTCCCGGGGCCGGTGGGAGTGCCTGCCCGTTTCCGGGATGTGGGGGTGAATTGGGGCTTCTTTCGCGGAACTGTTCATGTGCGAATGGGTGCATTGAAAGTTAGACAGCCGGCTGACCGTCTTTGTGCGCAGTTCACGGACCTTGTGGTTCCGTCTGCGGAGGATGTCCTGGGGAGTGCGCGTCCTAGACGGGAGGCCGGCTACGAATGGTGGACGCCTGAACTTGACGGAATGAGGAAGAAAGTATGTAATGCGAGAAGGGCATGGCAGAAGACAAGAAGAAAGGGAGGCAGGTCCGAGGACTTAGCTATGGAACGTTTCCATAGCATGAGAGCGCGACAGTTGATGGGGGATACGGAGCTGGTCCATTTTCGAAAAATATCGGACATGGGAAATGCTGATCCATGGGGACGGGCATACCAAATATCTAGCGGGAGGTTTCGTCCTCCCAGCAATATAATAAATGCCATCGAATACGCGGAGCGACATTCGGGAGGGGTGAAGGAGGCCATGCGGGACCTGCTCGGGGCTCTGTGCCCGGATGATGATGCGTCCAAGGACACTGGGTACCATGGGCGTGTGCGACTTATGGCCGCCTTCACACCATCTGGGCCGGCTGCCGTTCCTCCAACTATTGGGTGTCTGGAGGGCATAGTCAGGGCGTTGCCCAACACTGCTCCGGGACTGGACGGGATTGGTGCCAAAATTGTTAAGAATGTGTGGAGAGCTGCACCTAGGGAATTCCACTGGGTGTATGCCAAATGTGTGGAAGAGGGGGTTATCCCCGAAGTATGGAAGAAAGGACGGCTGATAGTTATTCCGAAAGGTAATGATAGGCCATTAACGGATCCCAAGGCCTACCGCCCGATTACGCTCCTCCCCATCTTTGGGAAGTTGCTGGAGCGAGTTCTGCTGCGGTGTGCTCCGAGCTTGGTGAGGGGCATATCGGAATACCAGCACGGGTTTTCGCCGGGTCGGTCCACGGTAACGGCGCTGCAAGACGTGCTTACTACTGCGCGCGAGTCGCAGCGCAAGTATGTACAAGCCGTCTTCTTGGACATATCAGGAGCATTTGATAATGCATGGTGGCCAATGATACTGCTGAAGGCAAAACAAGGAGGGATTCCACCTAACATCTACCGCATGTTGGTGGACTATTTCATCAACAGGCGAGTGGGTATATTCGTGGGTGACTGTGCCGAATGGAAACGCTCGACCATGGGTTGCCCGCAGGGATCAGTCCTTGGACCGACCTTGTGGAATTTACTGCTGGACGATTTGTTGAGGCTGCCGTTCCCCTTAGGGACGAAAATGTTGGCGTATGCAGACGACGTGACACTTTTGATAGAGGCGAACTCTAGAGCTGAAATAGAGAGAGCGGCCAAATCTGCACTGGAGTTGGTATCATCGTGGGGAGAGAGGAACCGGTTATCCTTCTCCTCCGCGAAGTCATGTACCATGACTATTAAAGGCAAGTTCCAGCGACCACCTGTTATAAGGATGGGGACGGAGTCAGTTAAAAGCGTAACGTCGACTAAGGTATTGGGTGTCACGTTAGACACGACTCTATTCTTTATTCAGCACGCCAAAGATATGGTAGAGAGGCCTGGGCGATGCTTTGGGAAGATGTCGCAGGTGTCGGCATCTTCTTGGGACATACGCTACCCCGCACTCCGTGTTCTATATAAGGGTACATATGTTCCAATAGTGACATATGCTGCGGCCGTTTGGGTTGATCGGGTGGGGAACTATACAGTGCGAACGACACTGCTGAGATCGTAGAGATCTTCGCTCGTGCTGTTGACAAAGGGGTACAGGACGATAAGTACTGCGGCGCTCCCGGTATTAGCCGGCGTCCTGCCGGCCGATCTGGAGGTAACTCGTGTTGGTAGAATTGACCAGGCGCGTAGAAACGTTGAGAATGGGGAGTTGAGCAGGCGTAAGTGCGAAATCTGGGTTGAAGTTATGGATGTATGGCAGGAACGATGGATGAACGAGACGAATGGAAAAGAGTTATTCTGCTTCTTCCCGGACGTGTCGGCGCGGCTCAATGCGAATTGGGTCGTGCCGGACTATCAAGTCTCGCAGATACTCAGTGGGTATGGATGTTTTCGAAAGAGACTGCATGATATGAAATTGGTTGAATCTGGTATGTGTGATTGCGGTGCTGCCTATGAGAATAGGCATCACGTGCTATGGGAGTGCGAGTTGTATGATGACCTGAGATGTAAGATGATGGACGGAATAGTACGCAGAGGGGTATGTCCGGTTTACTACCCGGACCTCGTGGACGGTAAGGAGAGCTTTGGCCGGCTGCGGGAGTTTGCGCATGGTTGGCATGCGCGGAGAATTGCGATGGAGAAGAATCAAGAAAGGATTCTACCCGGAACCGAAGGCGTTGCGTGTTCGTCCAGCCCAGAAAGGGAGAGTGACACTACGGGACAAGGAGTAGATTAAATAACTTGTAGAGAGTCAAGAAAGTGCATGAGGGAAAGAGCCCTGAGCAAGTACCGCGTGCATCTCTCAAGATTCGGCCCGTATAACCGTAAGGTTGGTGGGGCCATGGGAGGTGGAGGGTTGTTCCCATCTCTGGGCTGGGGCTCCCCAGTGCCAGCTCCTTCCACTTGACCGCATCCAGCGCAGAGCGGCTCGAATTGTCGACGACCGAGTCCTTTCCGTTTGGCTCGACTCATTGGCACTGCGAAGAGATGTTGCATCTCTTAGCATTTTCTTTCGCATTTACCATGGGGAGTGCTCTGAGGAATTGTTCAGATTAATCCCAGCCGCCAAATTTCACGAACGCACATCGCGGCAGAACTCCCGATACCATCCACACCATCTGGATGATTGGCGGTCCACCACTGTGCGATTTAGAAGATGTTTTCTTCCTTGCACAACTTCCTTGTGGAATAGTTTACCACCAGCGATTTTTCCAGACCGATACGACTTAGGGACCTTCAAGAAAAGAGCCTACTCCTTTTTAAAAGGCCGGCAACGCATCTGCAATTCCCCTGGTGTTGCGGTTGTTCATGGGCGGCGGTAGTCACTTACCATCAGGTGAGCCGCATGCTCGTTTGCCCCCTCTCCTATAAAAAAAAAAACTGTTAGCGTTTAACCACAGATTAAATAATGTTACTACGTAAGTTTGGCGGAGCGTTTGCATGCACGCTAAATACTCGCCCCGTCAAATAATCTCCACTGCTTTATTTTAAAAAACCTTTGAATTGATGCAACCTGCTGTTAAAAATACATTGGTTTCAAGGTCAAAATAAATGTTTCTATTTCATGAAGGTTTGTTCGCGTTTTTATAATAACGTGAAAAAGTTAAGTGATGTCCTACAGCTGAGTACAGACCTACTCTTATTACGGTAAGAGTACATGTCTTCGAAATATTTATTCCTCAGAGAAGTTTGGAAAGAGAAGGAGTCCAATATATTACTTCGCCGCCGTCATCCATAATTAATCATTATTACAGCCTTTCACAAGTCCAATACTGATCATAGGCCTCCCCCAAGGAATGCCACAAAGCACGGTCCTGAGCCATCTGCTGGATGCAGACTTCGACTTCCTGCATGTCTTACCAGGTCACCTCTCGAGAATCTTTCTTCCTCATCGTTTGTCGGTTCTTCGAGCTACATGACCGGCCCATTGCATCTTCAAGTTAATCCGTTGTGCTATTTCAGTTATACTGATACTACTACTGATATCCTAATTTCTAAGTTTAGTACGCAGAGAAATCCCGAGCATAGCCCTCTCCGTAGCTCGCTGAGCAACCTGTAACTTCCTCCTCATACGGCCAGTAGTGAGGGACCACGTCACAGTCATCCATAAGTTATCACTGGCAACTGTTTTCAAGTATACATGACGAGAAGATGTGTAATAATCTCCCGAATGCTGCCCAGTCGATTGACATTTCGCTCGACGTTTGATTTGTCTAGTCGGAATATTTATCGCAGGAAAACATACTCGTCAACAACATCGATCGTAGTACTTACATCAAATTACCAGTATAAATTTGACATGGGCTTTACACATGATCTTTGTTTTTTCCATGTTCATCTTATCATATCATGTTGGGATGCACTATTGTGGTCATTGGGCATAATTCGTAGGTTCTCCAACGATTCTGCCATAAGAACTATATTCTATCGTCGGCAAATCGAAGGCGAAAGACTTCTATTTGCTGCCGAAGTATTAATTTACCACGTGCCGCCGAGCACGTGATAAATTACTACTTAATGTATAGAACCGGAGACCCTTTTTTACTGGTAACGAGGCATCTCATCTTAGTCCTCGGGGTTGCAAATTCCAAAGTGAAGAAAATTAATCATTAAGTCATCAAGCTTCACAATGCTTGACCCTTCTAATTAAGGGTGACCGTTAATTACTTTTTACTGGATGAAACAAAACAGTGAGTTATGTTGCTCGTGGAAGTAAAGGAAAATATGACAGTTTGTAATTGCTTAAGATTGAATCCTTAAGGGGATATCGCAAATTTGAAGTAGAGGTATCTATCAATTTCTGTCACATTGAGCCCGGAGGACCGAACTAGATATCTGAGAGAGACAACTGTAATTCGGACTAATTACAGCTACAAATAAATTGACGAAATGTTTATCCCATATTCACCTGTACCCATTTTATTTATTTTTATACTATGAATATCAAGTTCTTTTGTTTTATATGCGATTTTTCATAGGATTGGGTGACAAACGAGCAAACAGTCCACCTGATGGTAGTTGCTGTGGCCTAAGAGGAGTGAGGACTAAGATGGAATGCCTCTTTTCCAGTAAAAAGGGTCTCCGGTTCTCTAAACTCACCATACGAAACGCAGCAGTGTTAAGCTGCTATTTAACGCTGGTATTCTGTGAGAACGTGGTCCTTCCCCGGTCGTGCTGGCTCATTCCTGCTACAACTATACTACTCATATAGCTGCAGCATGGCTCTACCACGTACTAAAACGTAAAATTTATTTGATGGACATCTATTAACGTCGAAATAAGAGGGCATTTTAATAATCTTATAAGCTTTCTAGTTTCACACAAAAATAAAAAAAACGTAGGACTGAACTTAAGTGTGATAAACATCATGTCAAAAAATGTGTGGCTCTAGTGTCAAGGAATAAAACCCAGTATTCCTCGGTCACGCTTATTCCATAAGAAAAGACGTCTCGCATTTTCTCGTGACGTCCGACGTTCCGACATCGATAGGAACCTTAACTTAATAAGGTTACTATGTTTGAGTAATATTACGAATGTAAAAATATACTGATACTATTTTTAAGTAATGCTTTACATTAACGAGAAAACTGCACTACACCAACAATTAAGTAAAACATGAAATCCTGTAACATCATCACCATCATTTACCACAAATGCTAAAAACATGGCCCCGATCCATCTGCTGACTGCTGGAGCAATGTCCTGGTAAGACCAGATCAATACTCCATCTAGTGTTATATAGGTAAAACAAACTATTATCATATACATTAATCTGTACACCTCCTATCTATAACAAAACGTTAATATTGTATCAAGCAACTAAAGTTGTAAAGGCTATGAAGAGGAGACAACTGTCACCTAACTTTGCAAACAACTTCTGCCTGAGGGCACAGTTTACATTACTTAAGACTTAGAAGATAATTTGATTAAAGATAAATGTTCATAATTTGACATTTATCTACAGTAACGCGGTTACACTTTGTTATTTTACTAAACACCTTTGGCGCCTTATCAAAATACACCTACGACATTTTTATGCTAGTGCACCAATGACGTTTGAGTTCAATTTAGTAAAGAAGAAAATGTGAAGTTACGTAAAAGTTACAGACTATATAATGCACCCCAAATCTGAGCACAGGGCTCATCACCGATCTAAGTGATTTATAGAACAATTAGTATGCAAAGCTTTTGGCGATCTTCGCATGTCGTTGCAATATTTTTAATGTTTTCCGTGACAACTGCAATACCAGATGAAAAACTTCACAAAAAATTCGTGCGAGGAAAGAAACTCCTAGTAAATCACACAGTAGTGAACAGCCAAGCATCAAAATTATGTGAGATGTTCGTGTTGTGAAATTTACGAACAGCGTTAAGCCCTTGAATTACCATGGCTCTGAAAAGGAAAATATCTGTAGGCATTTGTCGTACTGTTTAGCATAGATTTATCTGTTTTTAGTAGTCCCTTAGTTTGACTATCTTGCACTCTTCATAATAAAAACCACGAACTCCTTTGAATAGTAATGAGAAGTTATTACGAGCGTTCCAAAATGAGGATATCGGTACGCAGTAGGACTAAAGTAAACGACATAGCGTAAGGGATCTGTAAGCTGAAGTAGCAATAGCCCGGCCATAGAGCTCAAAGAACCGACAGCTACATGGATACGACACGACACTACATGATGTTGTGGTATGCAGGTAGTTCACGACCTTGATTTGTCGCATTCCTTCAGGAAGTCTTCAGCTGTAACGGTGATGACGACGATAATAGAGAGGCGTTCTTTATTAACGTGCGTACAGTAAGTAGCATCTGTGCGTTTCACAGCATTCATTCACCATAATATAGGCCGTCTGTTCCTTTGTCCTTTCTACGGCATAAAATTTATCAAAACATTAGTACGTTATAGTATTCAATTAAAATCCGGTAAATTATAAAAGTAAGTTTTTATACGTGATAAATTCAAACTGTAGCTATGTTATAGTTGAAGCACGATTGGGTTGGCTCAACCGGGGAAGGTCCAGGCTCTCACAGAATAGTAGTGTGGAAAAGCAGCTTAATGCTGC